GTGTAATACAAATCCCCGTCATCATACATGATAGATCATCTACGTATTCTGGTGTACAAGTAAAGTGCATGAACAATTAAGCAACCATAATGACTAATAAAAAACCTGGATAGTTTCATGGGTGTTAGATATTTCCTGATCTCTCATAAGCGAGATTAAAAGCCCTCAACAATCTCATCTCTGATCCAGGATCTTGGTGTTGGGCATGGAAGATGATGACAAGAGAAGCAAATGAACGGAGGCCGACACCAAACCAGTCGAAGATGTATTTGAGCGCATCCCACAGCATGTCATGCAATGGAAATGAAATTATTATAAGAAATATACAACCCAGAAGAGTGCTGCGGTAACAGGATTGAGGCCAGCAATGATAAATTCAAGGGACGTGGAAGAACCCAACGGAAGAGTGATCGGACGAGCCGCGAAAGCGACACGAATGACGATTGGATGAGGGGTGAAAACCAACGAAGATTGATGGTGATAGATGTAAAGAGAATAAAATTAACATGAAGCCGCATGAAGCAAGGATATGAGTTTCAAAAAGGAGTATTGATCGAACTCATGTATTATCGAAACATTGAATTGGGAAGCTCGCTGCGCAAGGAAGTTGATGAAGTTGAAGAATGGAAGGAAGAGATATCGCAAGTCTATTGAACACTGCATTTTCACTGAGTAATCTTAGTGAGTTTTGAATGAGTTGGGAGCTGGATTTTGCATGTCTTATATTAAGTCCCAGAAAGAAGAGGGAGAAAGAAAAGAGGAGGGAGAAAGAGAAAGAGTAAGAGAGAGAAAGAGAAAGAAAGTAAGGAGAAAAGAGAAGAAAGTAAGAGAGAAAAAGAGAGTAAGAGAGAGAAAGAGAACCAGAGTAGATAGAGAAAGAAGTAAGAGTAAGAGAAGAAAAGAGATTAAAGGGAGAAAGGTTCTTTTTTCAAGGTCAAGGCTAGACCGAGCCAATATTACAGTAAGATTTGTAGATCGAACGACGGTTCCGGTTACTAGTACCAAAATCGGAACTGTGGTTATGAGTATCCAATAAAATTATAATGATCCTCTAAAGATTTTAAAATAATAAAAAATCTTAAAAATTTACAAACCCTCAACCTGCACTTTGTTAAAAAAAAAAAATTACAAATTATAAATTCAAATTATAAACTCTATTACTTGTAACCGTAGATTCTCAAAAATCAAACCAATTGACTTTAATGTTCTGTAATTATAATATATTCATGTTACATTTTTTACAAAATTTTTTTTAACCCTCTATTCTTTATTTTATTTTATATTAGTCTCGGTTTCCGATTCCGATTCCTAACTATAAGAACCAAAACCGAAACCAACCCCGAATATCCGTCAATTCCGGTTCCAATCGGTTCTTTTGAACCACCCTAGGTTTGATGATCAAGTGATATTGATTGATTATTTTTTTATCAATAGAGTTAATTTCTTCAAAATCGGAAACATACTTTATTATTCATAGTATAAAATTAAACTTATTATAAGGTTTTTTTTTAAAAAAAAAAAACTAAAATTTAACAAAATTTGATAATCGAAATTTAATAAGACAATAATTAAAATTAAAATTTATATGAGAATATTTTTTTTGTTTTTGTTTTTGAAGGTAGAGATTTTTATTTTAGATCTTTAATTTTAGTGTCAAAATGTTTTTAATTTTTCATAAACTATATTCTTTTTATTTCATTTTAATTTATTATATTAATCTCCAAAGTCCTCATTTTTTTCTATATTTATTCTTGCTATTAAGACAAATGGTATGATGGATGTCATTAAAGCAACGTTAGTTATATTGAATGTCGATAGGTTTTTTCAAAATCAAACCCATTAAAGCACGCATACTGATGTCCCACAACTAAAAACCCATTAAAACAGTGAAGCGAAAACAAAGCTCGATGGCGATGGACGTAAAGAGGAATAGAATTACCTGAGAATTGCAAGAACAGAATGTGAGTTTCAGAAAGGGGTATTGATCGAACTCAGGTATCATCCAAATATTGATTGGGATGTTCGGAACACAAAGAAGAGGGTTCACCAATGGTGGGAAGAGATATCTCAAGTCTCACAACTGCAATTTTTTTTTTTCCGGGCAAATCTTATTTTGATTACACATAATCGATGATGATAATCAACTTCACTCACTCTTTACAATATGGAGATATGTGAAGAACTATTTCTCCCTGTCTCTCTCTCTCACTGTATGTATGGATGCTAAGTTTTCTCTTCAAGGATAAAAGGATGGATTGTTTCTTGCCGTAGATGCGGAGGAGGGTATAATAGAGAAGTTGAGGTTTCCAGTGTTTGGTTCTGAGTCGTTTGATCTCATTGGGGTTTTCAGAAGAAAAGCGTGTTTCTTAAGCCAATAAAGTGGGTTTGGGCCCTGATGTTTAGCTCAATGACAATGGTAAGGCTGGTCTTTCTCATGCTTGAAAAAAGTTTGAATAGTATGAACAAAAATTTGAATAGTAAAAGGTGCGTTTGTTTTATTATTTCCCATTCTATTCCTAAAATACATGTTTGTTTAATTATTGGAAAATACTATTTATTTTTTAATTATTTTTAAACTCTTAAATTTATTAATTTAATTAAATATCCATGAAAAAAATTTAAAATTAACAAAAATATCCCCACCCACCCATAGTTGTCAGATTCCGACACTACTATAGCGATTGCCGAAATCTGTCACAATAACGTAAATGATCAGAATTAGTCGTTATTCATAAATTTTTTACAAATTTTCTCTCATAACCTTGATATGACAGCTTGCAATTAATTAGTGAGATTTATACAGGACCCATGTGAGACTTGTTGTGAACTGTTACGTCAGGATTGTGAGAAAAAAATTTATAAGAAAGAGTTGTTGGTATATGTATATCTAAAACAAATTGATATTTTGGTGACAGTATGGCAGTAAGTACTGATTGAATAATATTGATATTTGAAAAAAGTTTCGACGGATTTATTGGACCCTCTTGCTGACAATTTTTCTGCCACTTGACCAACTTACGTAATGAATATTTTCTAAGTTATGAATATGAATAGACATTTCAGCTTGAAACTATAATCACTTCCTTCAAACCTCAAGGATGAAAATGTCATTAACTAGACTCTTGATAGGCTACCCGTGCGTGTTATTTAAAAAAAAAAAAAAAAAAAAACATTAAAGCAAAGTTAAAAGATTTTGATTCCTCATTGTGTCACAACTTTCTTCTTCATTTTGATAACGTTTACGAAAATGATATTAACAAATGTTTTTTCCATCAACATAATTGTTAGGCCAAAAATCGTCCTCGGCCCAATAGGGAAACAGGATCACTGTGAGAATGACCAGCCAATCTTGCAGATGCCCAATTAGGATTAGCCCTATTTGATACGAAGTATACGCGCCCCGAACTACATGGGCGAGCCTCTTAAGCCCTGTCCAATTTCTAGGCCTATGGTGTAGTCCAGTCCAAGCCCATAGCCCCTTCACATTTTCCCATTTCTTGATCAATCCCCTATTCAAGGTGGTCTTCCTCTTTCCTGGCGACTTTCCACTTGGGGGTCATTCTCCTAAATGGGATTAACTTCCTATCTAGACACTGATAAAGACAGTTGATCGGCCCTGATTCTTCTAGGTTGGCATCAGAGTCACACTAGACACTCCTGCTCCCACCAGGATTGGAAGACCGACGACCACTATATAAGCAGAGCCAGCCCTCTCACAAGGATATCGACATTACACCTTCACACCCGAGACTCTTTAATTGAGAGTTTCGCTTATTCCCGTAGTCACAGTCCCCGACTAGACTTCCGGTAATCTCTCATTCCCAGCCCTCACTATATTTCTTTCAGCCTTGCTGACTTGAGCGTCGGAGTGCCTACGGCAAACACCACCCTGGTTTTTCCCGTTCGCTTCACGCGTGTGTTTCTCTACGTGTGCAGGTACAGCAGATCGCTAGTGGCCTCAACCTCACGGATCAGACCCCCCTTTCCGTGCAGTTAGATTTTTACGTCTACAATAATTATACCCAATCTGTGGTGCAAGGGCCACATATAAAGTTTTTGGTCAGGTCTCCCTTTCAACCAGAAAGAAATAGGGAGGAAATTAGAATTTAGAAACAAACATAATTATTTATATGTTTCATTAAGAATCATTGGACAATATTCTTCTTGAACCGTTCCTTTTGTGTGCCGGGTTTAATTTAACATTTTTTTTTTTTTTCTTTTGAGTTAGATTCATTAGATAAATTAAAAATATGTAACCGATGTATTATTTGGTACAATAAGTAAGCGTTAACTAACTAAAGTGTATCTAGGACAATAGTTTTGAATTGTTGGTGGCTATGTATCATATATTTAGGCCAGCTCGTAAGCAACTACCTTTAAGTTTCAACGGGTGGGGTCGGCAACTTCTTTTTCAAGTATTGGTAAATTCCAAAATTTTCAGCACAATAAGATGTCTTAGTTGAAGTTATTAGAGTTGTACTGGACTGCATTAATTTTTTGGATTGGTATTTATTTACTTATAAAATTATACTGTTTTTGGTGTAGATTTATACTAATCAATACAGTCAATTAGTGTTGCATTGATTGTATTAACTTTGACTAGTGATTGTGTATTTGTACTTATTACAGGGTAGGTTTTGGAAGTTTATTGATGCACTTGAGCGAAAAGTTGTGTTTTAGAGCAGTAAAGTAAAGTAGGTGGAATGGAAGCAATTATCGTTTCGTTGTGTTATCGGTTTAAGTTTCAACGGTGGGATCGTTAAATGGAATAATGAGTCGTTTATTAACAAAATTAAACTATGTTATAACAACTTGAGATTGGGCTGATATTCTACCACTTTCTTGCTTTCTAAGCAAAGTCTCTAAAGAAACGATTCATCCAGTTATACATCCAAATTTTCGATCAATAAAATTATTATTTTTAAATATTATTGTTAAAAACCACCCCCGGCAATTCAAATCCTAGCCACCTCTCTCTGTTTCATCTACCATTCAACTCACTACAACAAAAACCTTTCTTTCTTTACTGTATCTTCTACACACAACCAAACAAACAAACAACAAAGTCATCTGAATTATTTATTCATTTATTAACGAAACTTTGTGCTTCGTCTTCTCTTATTAAGCTTCTCGCTCAATTGATTTCGTTTCATTCAATTTCATGTCGTCTTCGCAAACCTCCGCCGCGGCGGCGGACGATGGCTCTGACAACCACGCGCCTCTCCTCCGTCCCCGAGATTCCACTCCTTCACCTACTGCTGCTGCCGCCCGTCCCGCCACTCTTGCACTCTTGCTCGGCCGCGCCACCGGCCGCGGCCGAGGCCCCTCCATGCTCGTTCGAGAAACCGCGGCGCGTGAGCTGGAAGAGCGACGCGCGGATTGGGGCTACTCGAAGCCCGTTGTTGCGCTGGATATGTTGTGGAATACCGCGTTCGTGGTGGTTTCGGTGGTGATGTTGATGATTACTATTGATGAGAATCCTAACACGCCGATTAGGTTATGGATCTGCGGGTAAACTGATTAGTTTTGTTCTTAAGTCGTTTGACCTAGATGATATTTGTATTCAAATTTGGGAAATTGTTATGTTACCGGAGCTTAATTGCGGTGACGTTACTGAATTATGCACCAGCATCGTATTTTGTCCATGAATTTATTGGTTAATGTTAACTTGCGTCCTGGTATGGATACTTGGATCAATGGTTTTGGTAGAATTATGAGGAACAGCAGCTTAATAACATAAAATGCTTGAGTTGCTTTTAAGTAGACTATTTGAAATTTTGATGCACATTTTTTGACTGACAGGTATGCGCTGCAGTGTTTGGTGCATGTGGTGTTGGTGTGGTTGGAGTACAGGAGGAGAAACACAAGGAGAGTCAGGGATGATGGGAGGGGTGGCGGCGATATGGGGGATGTGAATAATGACAGTGAGGATGAGGAGGAGGAAGAGGATGGTGGAGGATCTGGGAGTTCGAGTAGATCCAGGTGAGTTTTGGTTTGATTTTGAGTTGTTTTAAGTGAGGAAGTTTAGTTTTGAATTAAATTGATAAATTAAATTGATGTTAAGTTCTATTGATTGAAATTTAAGTTTGAGTTGGATAATTGATTTAGGGTTTTGATCTTATTTGCGTATGTGTTTGACTTATGATTTTCTTGTTTAAAGTCATGCTGGTGATTTTTTTTATTTGTATTTTGAAGAGGTGAAAGGGTTTTTATTTGATTGGTTGTATATCCAGTATTATTAGTATATTTATTGATACCAGTAAGAATCTACTTGGTTAACCTTAGTACTCATTGGTTGTGCTTTTGAGGGAGCTGGAGTTTGAAAAGGTTGGAATCCCAAGTGGCAAAAGTTTGGTTGCATATTCAAGGACTTGTGTGGATATCTCTGCTGATATACATGCATGAACTAGAGGCATATTATTGGATGAGATTGGAAACAGTTTGTTTACCCAAGTAGTGTGTTGTGTAACCTTACATCCAGGGTTTCTCTTCCATCTTTTTCACATTCGTTAAAATTTAGTCTAACCTCTCTAGATTACATGAGTGGGGAAGACGGAAAAAGAGTTTTTAAGAGATGTAATGCGGTAGCCATTGCTGCTGAAGGTCTAGAGCAACATCATACATAGACTTATTGGAGACAGAGTAAGAAAGAAATGGGGATTAAACAGGTTAGGGTGTTGAGTTTTGGGGACTATGGTGGAAAGAGTATTCCCACATCGATATTTGTATTTCAATATTAAGGAAAAAGGGTTGAAATCTTCGTTTGTATGGGAATTCTTGCGGGGAGATCTCAAAATAATCTAAGGTTGCTTCATGTGGGCCATGTGATCACTTATTCCTAAAGTGAGTTTCTTGTGGATTATCCCAAGTTGTGTGTGTATTATGATGTTATTGGGTTTCCCCATATTACTGGCACAGTGAACTTGTATTACTTCAAAATTTCCACTAGTGATTCATAATTGGCAATCTGGCCATATGAAATGAAGGACTGATAACTCTCAGTAATGATGTATTACTATTGTTAAAAAAAAAGAATATAATAATGCAAAGAATCTTAGGATTTCAAGTCTGTGTGAAAACATGCAACCTTTGGCCCATCATGAATTTCTAGCCTGTTTATTTAACCTTACAAATGATTCCAGGATTATAGTATGATACACAATCTTGATTGCAGATTGATGTTAAAGAAACAGCAAATTGTAAATTCTTATGTGAACATCTAGATGCAAGCACTCACATTTATTTGAGGTTTTTTGATTCTTGGTTGATATTTTAACTGGATAGGATGTAAGCATAGAAAATGATTTACTCATTTTATGTTCAGCTGGTCAGTGATGAGATGTTCCAATACTTTGCTAGTTTGACCAAACAATGCATGTATCAGTTGCGAAGGAGTTTCAAGTTTTATCTTTTTTCTTTATTCACCTTGATTGGGAAGTGGTTATTGGTTGACTTTTCTAGGTTTTGGGGATTTTGTCCAGGGGAGAGACTGTTACTGCAATTTGTAAAGAATTATTTCCCCTTTCTTGGTATTTTGTATCGTTTGTCAACACCTGCAGATTTCTTCTCATGTTTTAATTTAATAATACTTGTTTGTTATCCAAAAAAATAAAATAAAAATAAATGATGCATGTACCATTACTTTAGGAAGTAAGCTGGCTTTTATATGCCGTTTTAGTAACTCTACTAGAGGTTTATAAGATTACTGACTTTTTACTGATTCGATGATTGATGGCTTAGTGTCACTAAACGATGTGAATCGATAAATACAATGGCATCATTTCTCTGGTGGATAGTTGGATTTTACTGGGTAGTCTCTGGTGGAGATGTACTCCTGCAGGATGCTCCTCGTTTGTACTGGTATGCTTTTAACCTATTGTTTCTATGGCAAAAATCTTCAATTAGTTGTACATGTTATGTATTTTAAATTTTGTTTCCTTCCACCTCTAACACAGAAAAGGTATAACCTCAGTTTGAGTCTTTAAAATGTAAGTACTAAAGCCTGTTTGTTTGTTTTTGAATCTTCGTATTTAATATTTTCAGTCTTTGGGGTTTTTTCATTTTATATCTTATTTCAAAAACGAAGAATATGAAGCTCAAGATTTAACTACATTTTGGTTTTCCTTCTATATGCAAACTGCAATGACAATTGAGATTTCAGAAATATTTCATCTTACTGTGATCCTAGTTGTTATATTAAGTAAAATTAATTTACTGAAATTTGATCAAATTCTAATATTAACTTGATTGACCATAATCCTGCAAGATTGATTTGAAATGTTTTTCTTTTATGCTGTAGTATTTGCTGAAGAAAGACTGCTGGAATCTCTAATTCTTCATATTTGCAGGTTGGCTGTGGTTTTTCTGGCATTTGATGTGTTCTTTGCCATCTTTTGTGTTGTTTTGGCATGTTTGATCGGGATTGCTCTTTGTTGCTGCTTGCCATGCATTATTGCAATTCTCTATGCTGTTGCGGGACAGGTTTGAAGAAAGATTTATGAACTATGACTGACACATTGATCTTAAACAAATTAAGGGTGAAACAGCTTACTAGTGTTGTCTTACTGACTGATTAGGAAGGTGCATCAGAAGCAGATCTCAGTATCCTTCCAAAATACAGATTTCAAATATTGAACAATGATGAAAAGCCTGGTGTGGGAGCTGGGAAAATGATTCCTCTAGAAACAAGCAGTGGATACTTGGCAAATGAACGTATACTCTTACCTGAGGATGCAGTAAGTTATTGTTTTATTATGAAAAATACTCAGTTTTCACAATTTTAGTGCCCATTGCTGTGGTGTTCCATCACATTGTATTCAACTAAAATTGCAGCCTTTTACCATCTGGCCTGTTGTTTTTCCATCATTTTTGTATACATTTGCGCCTCATGACAAACAAAGCCATAACATTTGATATGTTGGCTTGGTTCTATGAACCCTTCCACTGAAACAAAACCATACCAGTTGTTTTGAACCCCTGGAAATATGAACCAGTAAGACCAATTTTGTTTTAGTCTAATGGTTTGATGCAGTTGTATAGGTGAGAGTCAGGCTAGTGAGTGCAGTTTATGATGTTTCACAACTTCAGCAAGAGTTGAATCATTGTATATGATATGTCAAGTCTAATTCAAGCATTGAACATGAGATGCTTTGATGAAGCCGTTGAAAAAATTTTAAGTACTAAAGATATAGGAATATTGTAGAGAACATATGGTATAAGTTGATTATTTTCTAGAGCATTGAACTCCCACATTATTATACAAAAAGTCTTGATCAAAGATTTGATTTTGGTAAGTTAATTTAAGCATCTCTTTATCTTTTTCATAGGAATGCTGTATATGTCTCTCCCCTTATGAGGACGGTGCAGAGCTTCATGCTCTCCCCTGTAATCATCATTTCCATACCACATGCATTGTGAAGTGGCTTAAGATGAATGCGACATGTCCTCTCTGCAAGTACAATATTCTCAAGGGAAATGAACAGGTATAAGAAGGGTCCACTTGACCACTCTGTATATACCAAAGAAATGAAGGCAGTAAGAACAAAGCTTCTCGAAACTCTTTTTTTCCAGAACGAGTTACTGCATTTGGCATTTTGTGCTTCTTTTTATGTTCACTGGCCTTGTGGAGTTATTTTTTCCTTCTTGCCTTTGTATGAATTATTTCAGGCACTTGTGCAATACTTGGAGCCACTGATTTGCAGGTTTTAATTTATGCCTTTTTTGTTCTCTTTTTCTTTTTTGGTTTTGTATTTGTATAGGATGAAAAATAATGGTTTCATGTATTTTATAGTTATGTCAATTCTACAGTTTTACATACAGTGTACCTTTGTGATAGAAATAATAGGCGGCGTACTGCGATGGATTCTCTACATTGTGTTCTAAGTCTCATTGGTGATTGCTAGATATGTAATGACAATATATTGAACAGCAGCTTTGCTTTTCTTTGCATTGTATTCTAAATCTGATTGCTAGATATGTAATGACAATGTATTGAGCAGCAGCTTTGCTTTTCTTGCGCAATTGAAGAACTTTGACTGCATCTAGAGCTGGAAAACAAGATGTGGTATTATTACTTTGTTGCCAGGAATTTCGAAACGGCTTGAGCTATAATCACTTTTTAGTATATACTTTCTGGTATTTAAGATAGCCAAAGTGGGTACTTATCAGTTCATAGTTTAAGAATAAATATCTTATGGGACCTGAAAAGATAGGTTAGTGACTGGGTGAAAGGTTGGAATTGATTTAGAAGGGCTTGGCTCTACTCTAATGGAATTCGCCGGTTAATATTCTTTCTACTAGACTAGTTCTCCAGTAAGAGGAATCGGGGACGGCACTTGTTTTTACATTCTTGAAGACTTTCTCTGCTTTAGAATAATAGTAAGTAGTAAGTATATCCAGTTGTTGGCCTTTAAGCCTAGCTGTGTTATGGAATAGTGTTCAGTCTTTCCTTTATTTAAATAGAAAGTCAGAATCTACTTCTGCTGTAGGAGAATGGCATCCCTTATGTAGGCCCCGTGGCTGATCCAATGGCACATAAGGAGGTTAACGTTCCTCCTCAGTACCTCAGTAGAACCCTTCGGAAACAAACTGGCACTAGTCAGTTTCCAGACGCAAAATCGTAGCCTTGATTGCAAAAATCTAATATTGCAGATCTCAGTAAAAGCCTATATGATGTTAGAGAGAGGCAAATGGTACATAATTCATTCTCAACAAGATGTTAATATTACCGCTTATTCAAGGATTTGAAGAATTAAATGTTACAGACATTAGAAGATGTACACCAGTAGAGCTGCATATTGAATCATATGTACACCTCTGGTCATCTGGCACAGAACTCTACAGTGTATAACATTTCCTCCCAGATAATTCCGGATAAGCGACGAGCAAAATCAGTATGCAGTGCATGCTCCCCCTGAATTGCATGTATAAATTAGAATCAGCAACTCAACCGGATGTCTGATAATTTATGTGACTAGAGTTTGCTTTTAACAATCACAAAATCTTCAAGATCATGCAATGCCATATAACTATTATCAATATTTTATTCCTTCCCCGTTGTCTTTTAAGTCCCAATAGAGATTGTCATGCACTATTCTCTGAATTTGTACAATCATAAACTAATATCGAGCTGCCATATTCATAAGAGCACTTAAGTTCACCCATGATAGATCATATACATACTTATTCTGGTACAAGTAGTGTATGAACAATTAAGCAAAACCATAATGACTAATATTGTCCACAATTGATAAAAGCAAAGACACTTTCCTTGAAAGCTACTATGTGAGCCATTGGAAGCCCTTGACTACCATCCTGCGCAAATAGGGATAGCTCACCCACAAGATCTAAGACCTTGTGCCGACGACAAGGTTCATCTGGGAATTGCAGCAGTGTATTTAACCAACCTGCAGTGGCTTTAACCAACCTTCAGTGCCACTGCAGAAAAAGATGAACAAGTATATAATCAAAAGCATGGGAAAGACAGTAACTATGACTTTGGATCTTTGATAAAGTAATGATGTTCGTGTCAAGAAGAAAAACTATATTGAACTTTGCATAATTTTATACGGTTTTCTTATATCCTTTTCATGGAAAGATGAAAGATTTTCTAAATCACTGATTTATTTCCATGTCAACAATGTCAAAGTCAAAATGATGATATATTCTGTGTTTCTCACAATTGTATAGAAGACCAAGACTTAACTATACCTTCATCACTTAAATATGTGCATTCTTTAGTGCCCTAGGTGGTAAATCTCATGTTTATTTCAGAACATGTTATACTGGGTTCCAGTCAATCAATTGATTTTTCATCCTCAAAGCCTAATAATTCATACATAAATGGAGAGTCTTAACCTATAAATAAGGGCATTTTCTAATGAGCCCCCTTTTATCAGTCCTGCATTGCGCATAGACTCCACCTCAAAAATTCCCACAGAGATTTAGTGTCAGCAGTTAAAAATACCAAATCCATCATCAAATTAAATGATTAAAAATATCCAGGAAAACTAAATATAACTGACAGTTCCGCAGCCTTAATCTCCAAGAAATTTATAGCTCAATTAGAAATAATAATAACTTTCTTTTAAATAATTAGCTATGAGATGTGGACAGGGCGTCTTATATGACCATAATGTTGGTGAAAATTTCATGGCTATGTTGAAAAAGGTCACCCAATACTTTTAAACTATCATTAATCTGAAAAGCTTAAGCTGATAGGAAAAATAAGCAAAACACCAAGCCATGGTATTTAAACTTTAACTCACCTCCTCCAATACTTGAGAAAAGAAGCAAAATATTTTAAGACCACAAAAATGTATAAAAATAGTTATCAAATTTAAGTTTATATGCCACCCTTGCCAACATATCTGTTCAAGTCATCAGGAAACTCCTAACATCTCTGATAAAAGGTTCCTACCATATATAACATGTGTAATTACAAAGTATACCTCATACTCAGAGCATATAACATGAAAGAAGCAAAGTATCAAACCATAAAATGAGCACAACGCTACTGATATGGAGCAATAACTAGCCTACTGGTAGAGAGAAAGGAAAAAAAAACCTCCTCATAAATGCAAAAGGTTCTTGAAGATGCAATCTGCATTTCGTAGACAGACTCTTCCAAAGGGGCTGAAGAAAACCATTGGCAGCCAATAGCAGGCACCTAAAACAACAGAATGGGGAAAATTTATAAAAACAAGAATCTTGGTACTTAAAATATGATGTCCAATGGTTTGAAGGTTTCAATGTAAGCATAAACCTATCAAGTTACCAGCAGTGAAACCTCCAAACCAACTACTTTATACTATCATATTCAATGTTGTACACTATTAATCACCCAATAAGCTGCAACCTTGGGAAAGTCAATTCCACAAGTGACGGGAAGCTTCAGGTAACAGAAAGCAGCTATAAAAGAATCATTCCTCTACAATCCACACGTGTACGGGTTCATTCAACTATGGAGCAACTTTTTGGCCATTGTTTCCATGCTGATCCAAGGCTTCCTTTACCCTGACTTGTTGTATTGCCTCCTCCCATGCACATGCTGACCCATCAAAAATAGGAACCTGTGTTACTTAATCATAGGCAATCATCAATCTTTCGATGTACTTCAAGAATATTCAATTATTTGCCTTCTCCCACTCCAAAGAATTACTAATGCAGAACAGAGTGGTGATAACTTGTTCCCATCTTGTACTAAAATATTATTTATTCCAATAAATTCGCACCCAAGGTTTAGACAGCATAAGTTATACCAAGCTGATCCAAAGTATATTCATGAAAATGGCTGACAAAATACACCCTCTTATGAAGTTGAAGCCAAAGTGAAAACTTGATGAGGTAGCAAAATTCTGCCCGTCCTCTACAATTAAAATTTCAAGTGCCAGATGAAAAGCTATCAGCAAGTTAAAGAAAGCAAATCAACTTTACCCCCAACTAAAAAATATACTAGAAAAACATGTCTCCTCTTTAGTGAGCGTGAGATAATAGTCATCAATTTGGTAAGGCATTCTGATGTAGGATAGAATGAAAAACAGACAAAGAATAGAGAGATAGGAAGACTAGAAGAATTAAGAGAGGTAGAAAAGAATTAAGAAAAATATTAGAATGGAAGGGAAGGAAAGAAATTTTCGGAGGGAGACAGAACATAAATAAGAAGAAGAACAGAAATCAGAAGAGAAGGGGGAGAGAATTGAGAGAGATGATGAAGAACAAATTCAGTAATTCTTATTCATATTCACCAACAATTCAAAATAAAAATTGTGCATTCCTTGCCTTTCATACACAGCAATAATTCATAACGCATTCACATGTCAAACCGAAGATTACAAAGCTGACAATTCTAGCAACATACTATTGCAAAGTTAAAAATTTCATGTATTCCACCAGTCCAAACTTAAATTTAGCCTATCAAACTTTGAGCCTGAAAACTAATCCAAAGCACTAACCTCAACCTCTTGACTGGCACAATCCAAATTTTCGATGTCAATCGTGCAATTATCAACTCTCTTAACCTCCAAAACAGACAACTAAATGCCCAACAGTCAGGACTCTAACTCCATTTTTAGAGAGCGTGGCAAACAAAGGTGATTCTTTGGCGAAATCAATGGATGCAGGAATCAATTTTGATCGAAACTCAAAGTACCTCCCTTCACCAGTAAAACCCGTGCATATTTTCACCCTTGAAACCTCACCCGAATTCAAAGTCTTGCCGCTCGTGTCTATGCATCCAGCTACGGTTTGTTGAAGCCTACCCGTCTGTCACCAAAACACAATGATGCAAACAAAATCATAAATCTAAGTAAAAGATTCATACTAAAGTTAGAGGGACAACTTCTCAAGGCATGATTGGTACTCATATTACTAATATCACACTACTAATTTAAAATTCATATCCTGTAACTACTTTTGCATTGACCAAAACCCCTTGTCTCCAGTTCTGAGAAAATTTAGTAAAAATTCTTCATTTGGGTTCGAATAGCATATCCAACTGAGTTTGAAACGGTCGAAGAGTTTAATCATATTTTTCCCCCATTTTTATTTCTGTTAACGAAACAGAGAAACACAAGAAGTAAACCCAACAAAAGCTTACAGATTATGGAGAGAGAGTGTGTGAAAGCGTACGGATATCCAGGAGATGAGATTGGAGGACTTAATTGCTTTGAAGGTGCCTATCCCAGTCAGGAGTGACTGAGGGCCCGAACCAATACTACAACTGCAAGATTTGCAAAAATGCCCTTGCCACTGGTGTGAGGGCCCATCCGTAAAGATGGGTTTGACAATCAAGTGATATTGATTGATTATTTTATTTTTTTATCAATAGAGTTAATTTCTTCAAAATCGGAAACATACTTTTGTCTGGTATGAAAATTAGAACAAGGGTGAAGATATTATTATAAGGTTTTTTTTTTTTTAAACTTAAAATTTAACAAAATTTGATAATC